GCCAGTTGCGCTCGTGCCATGGCAGATTTGCTATTTACACTGCAGAATTGGCAAGCGCAAAGTCAGTGCGTCCCTGTGTCTGTAATAAGCGGAGTCTACGTGCGCTGTGGACCCGCCTATACTAACGCGCTCTTTAAATAACAAAAAAACTACTGCGCCATTGCACCATTGACCAACAAAAACCTGGTCTAAAGTCAGTCTATTTCAGTTGCCTCAAAATAGTAACGCGCCAGCAATGCGCCTGAACACACCTCATTTTCAGACCAGCTGATCCATGGGCATTTTCAGACCATGGGCGCACAAATGGGCGCAAATGCATTTTCTATTTAAACAACGTGGCGCAGGACGTGAAAATGGCAACTGCGTCGGGCTGAAACTAGCAAAAAAACACTTGCGTCGCGCCTGGCGCCACATTGCGCCATGTGTATGATAGGGCCCATAGACTTTAACAAATCACACCACATATCTTATTTCCCAAGCTCTTTGAATACAAGATAAAAAAGAAAAGGAAAAAAAAAAGCAAAGCAAACTAAACTAAACACAGAAAACACCCTGCGGTATTTAAAATGCTCTTTTCTAGCTAAAATGCATTGTTGCAGTGTAGATGTTATAGCTGGAGCACTGACCTAAATTTTACACATATGGCGGTGATTGCCTTTTGATGCACTGTCTCCTAATGACTCGTTAGGCTGCCTAGCTTTGAGACAGAGCCCCGGTTTCACCCGAGGCACAGGCGCCTTGTCATCCTCACAGACACAAAAATACCTTCATCTGGGGAATTCTCGAATCAAGCAGGCAGAGGGCCAGTCACATCTTAGTGTGTTACAACCCAAAGGATCTTGTGCGAGACCACGGGCTAAGTCCTGTTATGCCACGAAGAAAAACGAGGTGTTACGGAAGAAGCTGGAGGCCTGTGTTGGCCTCTCATTAGAGTGAGGCAAAGCACGCCGAAGGCTGTATGTCACACAAAAGATATTACATGGTAGTCTTAAAGGCTACACATGACATTTCTCACTAGCGAGGTAATAACAGCGCTCTTTAGAGATGCTGCTGCAGAACACTGTTGAGGGATGCACAGAGGTGGCCTAATTCACACAAGCTGTCTCTCTCTCTCTCTTTCTTTTTCTCTGTGTGTCTCTGTCTCTCTCACTCTGTTTTTAATAACTTCATTAATAACTGCATTAGAATGTTATCAACGGCTCAAACCTCCATTACCAGCTTTAAAATTACGTTTTGGAACTAGCAAAAGAGGCGTTGGATGAGATGCGGAAGAAATAATCCTACTCACAATAGCGATTTAAGTACAAAAACCGGACGAATCCCTTTAAATATAT